TCTCAGCCTCCCAAGAATCTAGGATTACAGAAATGAGCCAGAAGTGCCTATGAGTGCATTTCCTAGTGCTTTAGCAAAATGATGGTTCTTGAATTATGAAAGTTCAGGAGGGAGATGTTTACGCAGTGGAAGAGCATATTATATACAGAATGTCCTTTACAACATCTTTATCTTCCTGTAACTTCAGACTTCTTTAATCAAAGATAGTTGGTCTGACATTGTGATCTTAATGACTGCAGCCTATTTATGCAATATTTAGTTAATTAGCCTAGAGAACGTTCTCCATTCCTTCAGGAGTTCTGTGAGCTAAATCATAGATCCTTCATGATTATATCTCGCTTAATAAATTTTGTTGAGTGAAACAGTATTTGATTCTCCTTTGTCTTATGTTCAGGAATTAATTCCTATGCATGTTTCTCAGATACTTCCTAAACATGGATTGGTGAGGTTCTCTAACTATTGTTAGATAAATTAGTTATCTTAGTATTTGGGCCATGTTGACTTTAAAAACTCACTAGGAACCCAGAAGTAACGTGAGGTAAGGGACTGACCACTAAGGATAGTTGCACCAGTTTGTAGGCAAACCTCCATGGTGAAGTCAAGAAAGATGATCATTCACAGAATTAAAAAAAAATCCCCAAATGAAGGGAAGAATTGTTTTTGGAAAAGTGTTCAGGAGGATTTGAGGCCATAAATTCTTTTCTTTTTCTACCAACTGTCCCTTCTTTTGTCTCAAGATTTTTCTCCTTCCCAATCAGTATTCTTATCTTTCCATTAAATACCAATAAAAACTAGTCACTTACTTGTGCTAAAATACTTGCAATCATTCTATGACATTGGTTTTCAGCTCAACTAAATGTTCTAAAGACCATAAGAGATGAGATACTTTTTGATTTATGCATTCTGGCTCTAGTTATTGTAGGTTTTTTTTTTTTCTATTTAGTTAGTTAGTTACAAATTTAAATTTCAGAAGTTAAGACATCACATGGCAATTCTATCACCTGATGCATGCCTCTAGCCACACTGTGCTCACTATCCAATTGTAAACCAGGATGCTACTTGTCATGATTTAACTTTGATACCATGTACCATTTCTTTCTGCTACATTCTGATTTATCTCATATTCAAAAATGTGAACAACCCAATCTCATTTGAATGTTTGCCTAATTTTAAGACCCTATTAGTCATTTACTTGGGAGATGACATATAGCCCTTTAAATAGGTTAATTTAATTTGAGGAGGGCTTAATAAAGAGTTTACTATAAAGATGTGTACATTTTTAGGTAATTCTCAAGGAATTATCATAGCTCTAAGATTAATTACTTATGAGATCTGTTCCCACATTTATATCTGAAGGTCCAAGAAGAGGGAGATATTTTGAGCACTGGAAGGACAGCCTTGAAAGAGCATCATTTGGCAAGACCTAGGGTCTAAGTCCAGGAAATTAGCCACCTTTGTCAACTCTACAGGCCAACAGCCTGTGAGAATATTCTGTGCTCACTCTTCTGTCTGCCATTAACAACCATTTGCATAAACCCATTGATCAGTCAGAGAACAAAAGAGCTCACTGCTGCATTAAATACATCCTGGCCTAAAGAGAAGTTAGGAGGCTATAGAATGGATTTGGAGGTACAGATGGAAGACATCCAACATATAACAGCAACAATTATTGATGATATATATACCTATTATGAGCATGTACACATATGAATATTTTAGTATATTTAAAATATGTGTATACATTATGCTTAGTTTAGCTACTGAACAATTTAAGGGAGAATGAGAAGGACAATTATAATGATTACATGTTCATCAGGCATAATAGTAAAATATTTCTACACCTTATTAAATAAAACTTGATTTTTCATCACACAGTTTTATTTAATTGCTTGTTAGCAATTTCCCAATTTATGAAATCCTGAGGGGTTGTAGAAATATAAACTCTGGGGACTTAGAAATGACCATAAAAGACTTTGGGACAAGAAGGTTTGAATTCTGTTGAGATGATGGTGTTGGCTGAAAATTTCGGTAAGTTGCCAAACTGATGTAATATTTCTAGATAGAAAATTTTACTTGTCCTCACAAATAGTGCAATAGATATTTAAATACTAAGGTGTGATAATTACTAAGCAAGGAAACAAGAAGGACCCCTCAAAAAAGTCACCATTTTCTTATTTTACTTACTAAACTACAGAGAGTTCACAAAGACAGGTAGAATGTCTCACAATTAGACAAAAAAATACAACAATAAATTTCCTAAAAATAAAGGAGGTTGAATTAAGTGCACTAATAAAACAAAGCAAAACAAAACAAACAAACAAAATTCCAGGCAGTCACCAAGAAATACTAACAAAAGAAATAGTACCTGAAAAGATCATAAGTCTAATGATGTAACAGAGATTATTAGTTTCAGGGCCAGAAAATCTGAGTAATACTTTAGTTTTCTTTCAGTTGGAATATTATTTTAAGAAAATGCATTAAAAATACTCCATTGGAACTTCCTTGAACAAAAAACAGAAAAAAGAAAATGCATATATTTTTGAGAACGTTTCCATGTAATAGACCCTTATCTCTAAATACACAAAAATATTCTTCAGTTATTTTGAGTGTAAAATACATTTTTAAATTACACAAACATATAACCTTAATTTGGAAGGTTATACATACACCACAAGGTATTGCATTAATGAATATAGACATCAGATCTCCAAGCTATTCTCTTTCGCAGTGTATGTAAGTGGGTTTTGTGGAAAACACCAAGACAATGTGTATCCTATCTAATTTTTTTTTGTGTGTGTAGGTCCCTATGTCAATTATAAGCATATTTTCCTACAGAAAGGAATTATGTAATTTTTATAAGAATATCTATCGTTAATCATTAATAGTTAATCATCTATTCTAACATAATAAACTTGAGCAGACTACTTGACATAATGCATGACAGGGAAAATGGATGGAGCATCACTCCGGGATCACTGATAGATGAAGGTTAAGTCATTGAGATGAATATTGTGCTAAGGCAATGATGATGGATAAGCAAAGAGAATACTGATAGGAAAGACAAAACTTATCAAGGGATTGGTGACATGGTATTAAGTATGAATTTATTTACTCCAGTGTTTTACCTTACAAGTCGTATCATTAATTTATAATCATGTAACATTGTTACTTGAACGTGCCAGATATTTTCTAAGACAGATCATGTATAAAACACTTTGCACAATTTCCCTATAAATTTGCTGTTATCAGATCAGGAACTTTTATTGTCTCATTAAATAGATAAATTAGGATAATTCAAATAAGTCCCTCAAGTCATAGCTATAGAAATTGCTGGTAACAGAACTGATACATAGATTTGTTTATAGCTCACCTTTAAAATGTGCAACACTAGGCAACAGGTCTATAAATTTGTTGACTCCTTGATTCTTTACAATAATGGAATGCACACAAGACTCCAGCAATAAAAAATACTCCTACTAATAAAACTAGTATATATTACAGAATTTTGCAGATGTGATGTACAGATTACCTGTATTGTAAGCACTTGAGCTTAATGAGAGCTGGAACCTGAACCCCACCCATAACCTGCTAAGTTAGAATCCCTGGAGCAGGTCCTGTGTACAAAGAAATTGAGAACTATTTGTTATTAGAAGGTTTGTATCATGCCATGTGCTGTGCTTATTCCTTTTTTGGTCCTCTACAACAACCCTAATGAAAGTAAGTTATTCCCATCTTACACATAAGGAAATTGAAACTACATTGTTGACTAGTGCTGGTGAACTTAAAGTCTTGTTATTTTTCAGGAAGCAAAATGCTTTTTCAGCTGTCATTGGGTTGTGCAGTCAGCTCTGATAGCTCCATAATCCACATTTTCCATCCACCATAATATACAATGAGAAACAATCTGTTGCTGACATGGAAAAACATTTTCTTCTCATAAACACTGCATCTCAGAAAACTAGCTGGTTGTTTCTTTTTGTTCCTGCTTGCAAAGAATAATAATGACCATTGCTGACTGGTTGCACAAAATTCATGTGAGATTTCAAACATAATTCTATCATGGTTTTATTTTTAAATGCCATAGATTTCACCCAGAAAGTCAATCCTATTGACTTATTTCTCTTCTGATCAGAGCTGCCCATTTATTCATGCATTAAAAAATTTAAATTTACTTAACTACAAATGCCAGGTAGTATCTAAACACAGGATATAGTTTGATGAATAAAATGGCCAAATTTCCTGTCTTCTTACCATTTATGTCTTGTGGTACCTAAATTTGCTTGACCCCAATCCTGAATGAACCCCTGAAAAGGTGGATGGAGCTCACATATTTTAAAAATCATAATAGGAAGGGTTATAAAGTAAAATTCAACGCTGTGGGGTGGAGGTGCAGAGGGTAACATTTGTGGCTTGGTGGTTGTGTTCCTACTGATGTGAATGTTGGGGCTTCCTTGCTACTGAACACATAGTAGAATAGAATGGAAATGTCTTACATTCAGGAGAAAGTTCTTTCTAAAGGGCTTTGTCCTACCTCTTATGTGGAGAGTTTTGATGTACATTTTTGCATTGAAAAAGGTCTACACAGTTATATAAAGCACAATATTTATTATATATCTTTAATATTATGTAAGTAGATAATAATTTATTTCAGATATTGCATATAATTATAGTTATTATATTCTGATCATCCTTGCTGCTAAATTTCATTTGCCTAAATCAATACTTAAGATTCAAGAAATAATGAAAATGATTAATCACCCTTTATCATTTCAAACAAGTATATCAAGGCTCAGAAAACTGCTAACAACTTCTTGAGATAGACAAGATTTCTGCTTATTATTTATTACATTTCAGGGGCTTCGCACAATGAATGCCCCCATTTGGTTTTGGGAGAGGCATTAAACTCCATTCTATTTGCAGGTTCAAGATCTTTAAGCCATGAGACGGGCAACCACACAGTGACAGAGTTCATCCTGTTGGGATTCACAACAGATCCTGAGATGCAGCTGGTCATGTTTGTCATGTTCTTTGGAGTGTATTCTGTGACCTTGCTAGGAAATACCACATTCATAATGTTGATCTGCAAGGACTCCCAGTTCCAAACACCCATGTATTTCTTCATTGGAAACCTGTCTTTTCTGGATCTCTGGCATTCCTCTGTCTACACCCCAAAGATCCTAATGACTTGCATCTCTGATGACAAAAGTATCTTATTTGTTGACTGCATGGTTCAGTTCTTCTCTGCTGGGCTAGGATATACTGAATATTTTCTGCTGGGTGCCATGGCTTATTATCACTATGTAGCCATCTCAAAGCCACTGTTTTATTCTCAGGCTATGTCAGGGAGACTGTGCTTCTGTTTGGTCATATCTTCCTATACTGGAGGTTTTATCAATACAACAGTCTTAACCAGCAACATGTTCACACTGGAGTTTTGCTTTGGCAATGTCATTGATGACTTTTTTTGTGATGTCTTACCCCTTCTGATGTTGGCATGCTCTGTGAGGGAAAGCTACCAGTCTATGGTTTACTATATCCTGACCTCCAATGTTATTGCATCCATTGTGCTCATCCTGGCCTCCTACCTTTTCATCATCATTGCCATAGTGAGGATCCACTCCACCCAAGTCCACCTCAAGGCCTTCACCACATGCTCCTCCCATCTGATCTCTGACCTTATACTATGGCTTCATTTTCTATGTTCTAGTTACTCCCTTTAAAGGAACAAAATGTTTTCTACTTTTTATACTGTGTTGTTCCCCATGTTGAACCCCATGATCTACAGTCTGAGGTATAAAGATGTGACAGAAGCTCTCAAAAAAGCTCTTCAGTTTAGCACAGTCAGAGGCCTAAATTGATATATATTTGTCAGAGAACAGATAATTAATAATGAGCTATTTCAAGGAAGTTTGAAAAATGGATTTTAAAAAATTCTATTGAATATAAACAAGAAGAATTCTATATTTTTGGTTTCAGTGATAAAACTATAATGTATATCATAGAATGTAATTTGATTTAATATAGATTTTTAAAAACAGTATCTGAGTTTTGCAAAATAGAAGAGTGTTCAATGGGTGGGATCCCAAAACTTGAATATTATTTTCCTCTCTTCCTTAATATTGGCCCATTATTCCCCTGTTGCATAGTAAGAGTCTGGTGATAATGGAAAACAATATATGAAGAGTTCAGATTTGTTAATAAACCCTAAGTCTTGTCATTTAGTACTCCCAATGCTTATTCAGTGATAGATAAATAAGGAATGTTAAGATTTTTTAGATGAATAGAGACAACAGTTATGTTTTAGAAAATAAATGCAAGTAAAGGGAAACATCAGAATATCAAAGCTAATAAAATGGTGAAGTGACTGCAACTTTTTTTTCCTAAATTTAGTTTTAGTACATTTTGTAAAAGTGCTCATTCCAGAAATAAACATTAAGTAGCAAAGTTATTCACTGTGAACAGCAGCCCCACATTTGTAATTCAAAAATTGCAATGTTATTGTAAGCATTGAATAAGACATCAGTAAATTTGCTATGTGATGAATATTAATCGATAAGATTTTGTATGGTTAATGTCATTTAGGGAAGGAGACAATTATTAGGAATAGAATATTATGAGTTTCTGTTTTTGTTCATTTCAGTTTTTTCCACCTGATGTAATTTTATGTTGTATACCTGACTCAGACTTCCATGGAGTATTCACTCTTTGTGGGAGGGAACACTCTTAAGTTAATTTAAAGTTCTAAAAGTGCATCTTCTTGATTTTAGAAATGTTTGAGAGTAAGCAACTTCCAAACATTTTGCCTATGATTAAGTTAACACAGAAAGCATGAGGTTTGTAAAGTATGTTCTGGGGTGAATTTGATCAAAGTGTGTTCTAAGCATGTACGGAAATTTCACAATAAAACAACTTGATACAATTAATACATGCTAATAAACATATATAGAGATAACATGGATACATCCTATATACTTAATCAGGGATTTTGAATGAATTTGGAGGAAAAATCTTACCATAAGTAAATATTTTCAATATCTCAAGCAAAGCTGCAGTTTAACCACTCTAAATCATTTTACTATCCAATTAAGTTCACTAATAAAAATTCAAAGTCAAACTACATGCAGGAAAACCATACAAGTTCTTTTTTCTCTTCCCAAGGACTCCGCAGGAAATATGAAGAAGAATTTTATGAAAAAATATAGGACAGCAAAGAAGCAAAATGTTATATATAGAATCTCAAATGACCCAATATTATAAGGTATAAAATAGTTTATATTGAAAAACAATATTTGAAAAATGTTTTGCTCAAAATTTCATTGTTTTATGTATATCCTGTTGAATTTAACTCAAATGCAAGAATATGTTAGTAACCGTGGCTATTGGTCAGTAGTTTGGAAGCATACAGCAGAATGCAGCAGAAAAAATAACCTCTATGCTTGTATTCATGTGGTCTGTGTTACTTTCTTGAAGGCCTCTTTGACATTTGTTTCTCAGACTTTAGATGAGGGGATTGAGCAGTGGGTTAATGATGGCATAGAACAGGCTGGCCACTTGGTCTCTCTCCAGAGAGTAGTTGGGACTCAGCTGGAAAGTGTTAGCAATGTAGGTGATGACATTCAAAAATTTCCTATATAGGAGTCAGAAAGAAATCCAGTTCAGAGAGAAGTGGACACAGCAGCTGAGTAAAGCAATGAGTTACAAATGGCCACATAGCAGTCATATATTATGGTTACCAGCAGATAGCACTTAGTGTAAGCTGCAACACAGGAAAATAAAAACTGAGCCTCCCATCCAGCCAAGGAAATGTGGCTATTTTCTGAGATAAATTTGGCAGAATTTTTGGGTTGAATGCAATTTTATAATAGTTAACTTAAATTTTATATTCATTGCTCCATATCTCCCTACTTCCTCATTCCTAGTCCCTGGCAATACAAGTCTACTCTGTATTTATACAAAGTTAGCATTTTTATATTATATATTTAAGGGAGATTATGTAATATTTGTCTATTTTTGGTTTGATACATTTAGCCTAATGTTATCCAAGTTCATCCATGCTTTTGTAATGGTATTTTTTAAAAATATAAAAAATATTGAAATTTATTCAGAACCACAAAAGATATAGTGCAACCAAAGTCAATCTGAGAAGAAGTACTAAGTCGAGGTACCTATCATAGTCCTGATTTTAAGGTACATTATAAAATATCATAATCGAAATAGAATGCCACTGGCATAAAAGCAGACCCATAGGCTAATGCAATGAAATTGAGAGCTTAGAAATAAATCTATGTACCTTATCTTTAAGAAAAGGAGAGAAATACAAAATGGGGAAATAATATTCTCTATAAATGTGCTGTGGAAACAGCATATCTGCATGTAAAAAGAATAAAATTGGTCCCTTACCTTATATCTCACACTAAAGTTAACTTGAAATATATGAAAACATAAATGTAAGATATGAAATAACAAAACTCATAAAGAAAATAGGGAAAGAGCTCCTTGGCAATGCATATTTTCAGGTTATGACACCAAGGCATACATAACAAAAGCAAAAATAAACAGGGCTATATTTTGTAATTTAACAAAGACATGACATTGGTTTTGTATTGAGGATATATATAAATAGAATATACTTTCAAATCACCTGTGTAATTTTAGGAAAGTCATTTCTTCTCTTAGAAACATGGCTCACTCAGATGAAAATTTTGATTAATTATTTTGCAGGCACTAAGTTGGTCTTTCCAAACATTAGATTTATTTTCCATTGTTGAATTTACATAAAATTTGTACAAATTCAGCATGTACAATATGATGTTATAAAGTGCTTATTCATTGGGTAATAGCTAAATTGAGCTAACTGACTTTTGTGTTACCTCACATACTTACAATGTGGATGAGAACACTCAAGCTCTAGTCTTAGTTTTTAAGAATACAATACTGCTCATAACTGTTGTGCAAAGGATCTTTTGAAATAGTATCTGTCATGAAATCATGGCAATTCCAAGAGCTAGTCTTTATACTTTATATTATATTATATATATTTAGTCTTGCCTGAGCATAATGGCCAAGATTAATTTTTTTTGTTTTCCTTAGCACATTTTAAAAAATCCTTTGATCTAGAGGCAGAGATTTTATTTTCCATCAATGAAGAGCCCACACAATCACAGTTTAGTCATTTTTGATTGAGGTAGGTGGTAATATGGACATCTGGGTTCTAACATAGTTATGCAAGGAGGATGCTTCTCCTGTTTTTAACAGCAGTCTAGTGTAAGCTCCAAACTCTGGGGGAAAGAAGTTTGTAATCCATAGCTTCCTGTTATCTTACTACTTTCACTGTAACAGTGTACCACCAACTTCATGACTAAAAATGCCAGAAATTTATTCTGTTAAAATTTGAAAGCTGATTTTTCACACTCAGTATCATAGAGTCAAAATCAAGATGCTTTCAGGGCCACACTTCATCTAGATCCTGTAGGTTCTAGTCAAGAATCTGTTTACCTGCTTCTTGCATTTTCTTGTACCTACTGGCATTCCTTGGCTTGTGCTTGCATCACTCCAGTCCCTGCTTCCATGGTCAAATTGCCCCTTTCTTTTTCTATCTATAGTCAAATATGCCTCTTCTCTTTCACACTTATTCAAAATAGTCTTGGAATTCCTAGATAGAGCAATAAGAAAGGAAGAAGAAATAAAAGGAATGCAAATAGGAAAGGAAGAATTCAAACTACCACTATTTGCAGATGGCATGATGTTATACCTTAAAAGACCCAGAAAACTCCACCAAAGAACTCCTAAACATTATAAACACCTTCAGCAAAGTAGTAGGGTAAAAAATCAATTTACAAATTATCAGTAACCTTTCTATATACCAAAAATGAACCAACTGAGAAAGAATACAGGAAAAATTTTCCACTTACAATAGCCTGAAAAAATACCTGGAAATAAACTAAAGAAAATAAGTGAAAGACCTCTAAAATGAAAACTGTAAACCAATGAAGAAAGAAATCAAAGAAGACTATAGAAGATGGAAATATTTCCCATGCCCATGGATGGGCAGAATCAGTATTATGAAAATGGCTATACCGAAGTAATCTACATGTTCAATGCAATACGCATCAAAATTCCAATGAAATTCATCACATAAATTGAAAAATCAGCCCTAAATTTAACTTCAAAACAGTGCAATGGTGAGCACATAGAACAATGTTGTAGGTATCAAAATACCTGACTTCAAAGTATGCTACAGATCAATAGCAATAAAAATAGCATGGTACTGGCACAAAAACAGGCATGAATACCAAGTGAACAAAATAGCTGACCCAGCTATGAATTCATGCAGCTAAAAATAAAGTGGGCACTTAATTTTTGGCAAAGGTGCCCAAACATATAATGGAGAAAAACCAGCCTCTCCAAATGTCCATATACTTTGTATAAAAACCCATAGACAATTTCAGAACTTTTATTTATGTTATCCACAATAGTATATTCAAATATTCAAATAGTATATTCAATACTACTGAGGTCTTGGAATAAAAAATGAAGGCCATATGAATAGTTCAAATTACATGTGACAGTGTTCAATAAAAACTGGATTACATTTTTGTATGCATACATTCCACACGCATTCCACATTCTTATTTAAAAACACATCCATATCAAGAGTGTCCTTGATGCTAGTGCAGAAAAGAGTAGCAAATACACTGTAACTTATAAGCATAGGCAATAA